GGAACCCAGTTGCTGGGTTCCTCACGGTACCTAGTTCTGCGTTCCAACCCCTGCTCTCTCTTTTTTTTTAATTATTTTGAATCTATCTATTTATGGGTTGAATGAAACAAAAATTTCATGTTCAGATTGTGTTTGGTTTGATATTTGGGTTTGAAATTGCAGGTGATAACTTCATTTTGTTGTGTTTATGTTGTTCTGGGTTCGTTGACAAACCCAGAAACTGCGTTTCGTGTTGTTGGGTTCCTCGCGTGGGTTCCTCGCGGTACCCAGTTTCTGGGTTTGTCGAGGAACCTAGTTCTGCGTTCCAACCCCTGCTCTTTTTTTTTTTCTTAATTATTTTGAAGCTATCTATTTATGGGTTGAATGAAACAAAAATTTCATGTTCAGATTGTGTTTGGTTTTATATTTGGGTTTGAAATTGCAGGTGATAACTTCATTTTGTTGTGTTTATGTTGTTATAAACATCATAATTGGTTTATGTTAGAAGAAAAAAAAGGCATACCCATAGTCCCAGAGGCGTCGTTGCCGTCGTAGAAAGTGGCATGGGCGCTTTGCCACGGCCCACCATTATAAACCCCTAGGATTCTCGCATTCACCAGCACAGAAAGCAAGACCAAAGGAGCAAAGCAGAGCATAACCACAGAAGGCGCCATTGTTTGTATTCGGGAGAGGGAGAGAGACTGAGAGAAAGAACCCAGCTCGTGCCTGGGTTCGTTGCCAACCCAATCTCGCGAGCTGGGTTCATCCTGGGTTCGTGAAGAAGATGAGGATAGAAATGGGAAATGAAAAGATAAAGGGAAACAATGATTTTTTTTTTTTAATTATTTTAAGACCTATTGATTACATGAAAAATAAATTTGATTGCCAACTCATCAATTTTGCCACGTGTAATCCTATGTCACCATTAAAAAGAAAAAAAAAAAGACATTTAACGGATAATTGTGCCATACTTTCACTTAACTGACAGAAGGACTAAAAAGGGACAGGATTTCAAACAGTAAAGATAAAAAAAGGGATTTTTTCGGTATAGTGATTAAAAAGGGGCTTTTTACTATAGTAGAGGGACTAAAAAAAATATTTAACCTATAGGAAACCACATAACACATTTAAGAGTCCAAGTGCCAATATGAACTTAATAAGTCAACACATTGCAGTCTTTGTACTTGATGCTGGTATTCATGGATGATCTAAAGAATAACTCAATTCTAATAGGAGCAACCCATACTCAACATTCATATAGGTAAAATTTGTCAATAGTGCTTTATAACTAAGAGAAACCTCTTGATAAGCTACAAATTTTATTAAAAATATATAACTCAACTCTCAATTTGTTATTGGATAAAAGCATCTTCACTCTAGGAATGGGATTGAAAATTTTTTTATTAAAAATATTGATGTATCTTTTCACAATGAATTTTTTATGATTCATTTTTCCCATTCAAAATCTAACTCTTAAAATTTAGGTTGGGTACCCTTATAAAAAGTTCTACATCATCAGAATCATTGCTGAACAGATTTGAAAATATATAATGTGATAAACGGTTGCAATAAACATATAATTTAATTTGTTTCTTTTGAGAAATACATGCTCATTAAACTTGCATTTTAATTTTTAATTAAATTTTACAACCACAAGTGCTTGTAAATTGCTCCGTCCATAAATTCTATGTAAAGCTTCACGTTTATGGGTGACGAATGTGGTTTTATTGAACTAGTTTGTTTCCAAATGTCTTAGAAGAATTTAAAATGCATTCTTAAACATAATTCGAATCTATTTTACTACTTGAACCCACCGGAATGGATTGAGATAACTAATAATTGCTCAAGTCATCATTTAAACAGAGACAACATATTCTATTATGTCTCTAAGAAACATTATTAATATAATCACGATAGAAGAAATGCTAAGAACAATATTGCTGCAGCCATAACTAACCAATTATAACTATTTACTGTCAGATCGGGCATACCAACTCTAAAAAACGATGCTCTCCTAGGTTCACATTCTTACTCTTTGTCCACAAACTCGTTTCATCCAATTTGTTGGTCTGACATGTAACCACTGACATAACTACTTTCTTTTCTATTTTAGGCGGATTGACATTTCATCATGTATTATTATTCACTTCATTGATTAGTTCATTTCATGTAGAAATGGAGAATCTCTAGAATTTGAATGAAAACAAATTGGCAGAGACGAAAATGCTTAATTGATTAAAACGGAGAGGGAATGATGACATATCATGAATCATGTAGAAAAATCCACAACTGGAATAAAATTTGAAATTAACTAAAATCATAAACGATGAATTGGATTTGCTTGACTTTTAAACTTTTATTTATTAAAAATTATATTGAATTAATTTTAAACAATTTGAATTTTGATTATTAAGATAGAAAACTTTAAAGCTGATAAGTAAAAAGAATATAATTAAAACAATTTGATTCAAAAGTCCTTTATATAAAATTTTTAATAGTTTTTAGATTTGTTTTAAGTTTTCTTATTACTTTCTACCTTAGTATTTATTTAGTTGAATAATTTTTTTAATAATTGAAATTAATAAAATAACAATTAATAAATTAAAAAAGTATTAAAAATAAATAAATAATTTTTTAATTATAATCAAATTTGATCCAAATCATTATTTTCAAAAAAGTACAAAAATAAAAAAAAATCTGGTTTCTCAGTTTAATAATTAATTTTTAAAATTTAATAACTAAAAATTTAATTAATCGGTAATTCGATTTGGTTTGTGCTCTCTTATGTTCGCATTCCTACTCCTTACTTTGTCCACAAATTTATTTCATCCAAGTTCGTTTCGCACGTGACAACTGACATTTTTTTTTTAACAGATGTAACCCAACCCCTATGGTTGGGATGCACCCTTCTTAATATTCATAGTTAATTGACTTTCTAGAAGGTGCAACACGTGACCACTGACATGATTACTCAATTGACCTATTGGGGCAGACGGATGTATCTACTTCAATCGGACGTTTCATTATGTAGCGTTTACGTTGTTGGGTTGATAATACATATTAAATATTTTAATTTATATTAAATTTAAACCTTTATTGAAATAATTATACATTTTTTATTAACAAAATAGTTATAATATTCTTTCTTTTTCTCTAAATTTTTCCTTATTCCAAAATAGCATTATATCTCTTCGTTCATTATTTCATTTCATGTAGAAATGAAGAATCTAGGGCAGCGACGCTAAACTGGTAATTTGCATCAAATAAGTTTAAACCAAGTTTAAACCAAGTTTAAACTTTTATTAGGACAGTTATAATATTTTTTTTTATAACATTCCCCCGATTTAAAAGGAAAAATGAAAACAAATTAACAGAGACGAGAAGACTCGGTCGATTAAAATGTAACGCGAACGATGACATATCATGAATCATGTATTCAAGTTACAGCTAACATGCACAAAATGTCATTGTTTTTCTTCATTATTTGCATAGTTCCAAAATAGACTTAGAGTGATCCCCATGTAAACCCTTGATCAAGGAATTATCTCTCGTAAGTTGTGGTTTCAAATTTTTTGGATGACATTTCTCTTTCCTATCTGTCTTGTTCAAAAGGAAAAAAAAGGAAAAAAAAAAGGCAGAGTTTTAACCATTAACTTTTTTTTTATGAGAAATAAATAAATAAATATATATTAAGTAATAATAAATTATAACAGAATCTTCATCTTATGGCATATAATTAAAATCAGAATAACTTAAAAGACAAAATCATAAAACTTAAACTTTGCCCATTATGGATATAAACAATTAAGTAAAGAGAGTTATCTGCAACTAGAAATTCAATTTACAATCATTGTGCGAGCTAAATAGGGTTACTAATATAGAAAGGAGAGTCACTATGAGCATTAAAAACTACTAGATATCTTTACCTATTTAACTAGTTTTTTTGGTGAGAGGAAGGGATTCCAGCAACAAATAGTCTTGAACCCACAAATTGCTGCCCTACTTATTCTTAAAGAACAACCAAGAGGGGTATAGGTCTTGTCGATCCTCTTCAAACCCATGCTGTCGAAACTCATTAAGGGAACCAAAGTCCCTCTGACTTGAAAATCAAGCTTCCCACGTCAACATAGCTGGCCTTACCAACAATATCCCTTCTCTTTGGCAATCGGCTAGCTAATTAGAAACTAGTGTGAACCAGATTTGCCGAATTCGACCCTTGCCAAGATCCCATTTGAGAAGATGCACCAAAGCGAGATTATTGCCTATTAAATAGGAGAAACCCACTTCACCAACAAGATCAATTCCAATCACAGCTTTTGAAAATCAATAGATGTAAACTTTAGAAAGCCCAAAAAGTTGCTACCTTGTGGTCTCTTGGATTGGAGTTTCTAAAGCAAGACAATGACAGGATGAAGGAGACCAAGAGCATGAAGGGAAGGGTAAGAAGAAAGCAGAGATAAAGGAACTCTTCTATTAGAAAGAAATTTTAAGAAAAAAAACCTGTCACCACTGCTCTCAACTCTAAAAACAATGCACAAGAAAAACCCTTAATCATTAATTATTATTATCAAATTAAAAATTTTATCAAGTACGAAATACTAAAATATAGTAATTTAGACAAAACCAATAATTACTAACCCCGAACTATTGTACTAAATAACCCCTTAGCCATTTGGCAGCCCGTATGATTGACAAAGTCAAAGCAACTCAATTGGATTGTGATGAGACAGCTTTTGTAATCGTTCGAATGGAAGGGACAAAACAAGAAAAAGAAAAAGCAAAACATGAAGCAACAGCATTTCCCGTGGATTATTAATATAAAAATAATCCCTTGTTTCAATTAAATATATATATATATATATAAGGTTAATGCCATCTATCGTTACTTTATAATCAAAATTAATGAAAGTTAAACTTTTTACTATCGATTGGCTCCATGCCGTCATTCTACTATTAATTAACTTCAGCTCTAATCTCTCTGCAATTCAAAATCCAGCCAATGTCGTCCCTCCGTGCACTATAACATACGACACTGTTTATTAATCGTTAAGTACAACGGCCAACTCGGTTAGTCCTTCTTTAATCTGTTTTTTTTCACCCTTGCCTTGCCACATCAGTGCAAACGAACACAAATAAAGCAATATATTGTAACGGTGCTGGCTAAGCGGAACTCCATTACTCCTCGCCTCATCATACAAGGAAAGCGCTTCCACGAGATTACCTTCCTTAGAGCACCTAGATAACTTACCTTTGAGCACGTTTTCTGGCAAGTCTCGCTCTCTCCTCCTTTTGGCTTAGCCGGAAAGCTCAGTCTTATGGTTTTCATTAGCGGGTGATTTCATAGTAGCAGCGGCGGTACAAAGATGGGTTCTTGTGTTATTTGTAAGTAACTGACACGAATACTACTGACCCTACCGGTTTTGCGAAACAAGTAAGAAGGGAAGTAGCGGGCCAAAGCCTGGGCGATAACCATAGCGGTGAATTAAAAGCGACGGAATTTTCGCGCACGAAGAGAGTGAAGAAGCAAAAGAATTCACTCGCAGCATCTTCACCCTTTCAAAACAGATAAATCTACACAAGCCAATGCGCAGGAAGCTGCATGCATTACGGATTTACGGGTGGATTGTGGAAGGCGCTGGAGCTGCTTGATAAAATGCCTCAATGAAAAATTGGGCTTCCCTTACTAACAGAAAGGCATATATATGGGAATTAAACATGTTTAGGTAGAGTGACTAGGACTCTGCATCGATTTCTTGAAAGAAAAGAAATTTAGAACAAGAAATTAAGATCAATCGGATTGAGACACTTCCCTCCAACATAACGAAATTAGGGCGGCGAATGAGAATCTTGTTTGCAAGGGTTTTTGTTCCTCAGAAAAACGGTGTCGTGTTGGATTGGTAAAGGAAGAAATCTTTTTTTTTTCTTTTTTTTTTCTTTTTTTTTGTGGAATAAAGGAAGAAATCTTTTATTAACAACAAGAAAATAAAATTCACAAAAAAGGAAGAAAATAAATGTGATTGTACTTTTATTTTTGTAGAGTTTGAATAATCAAATTATCAAAAAAAATATTAATAAATAAATATAGAGAAGAATTTTATTAAAAAAATTTTAATAACTTTAGTACTCAAATTAA